ACATGTATTATTCCATTTATAACTCTCAAGAACACTTTAAATAGGCCGGCGCTGTGGCTCACTAGGCCTGCAGCGCCGGCCCCCTGGGTTCTAGTCCCAGTTGGGGCACTGGTTCTGTCCCAATTGCTCCTCTTCCAGTCCAGCTCTCTGCTGTGGCCCGGGAGTGCAGTGGAGGATGGCCCAAGTGCTTGGGCCCTGCACCCACATGGGAGACCAGGAGGAAGCACCTGGCTCCTGGCTTCAGATCGGCACAGCGCACCAGCCGTAGCAGCCATTTTGGGGGTGAACCAACGGAAGGAAGACCTTTCTCTCTGTCTCTGTCTCTCACTGTCTAACTCTGCCTGTTTAAAAACAAAAAAACAAAACAAAACACACTTGAAATAAGTACTAGGTAGACGTAAGGGAAAAATACTTAGTAGAATTAAGCAACTTGCCCAAATCTATATGATATTCTTAAAAAAAACCCCTCTTATTTGGGGGGCTGGCTCTGTGGCGCAGAGGGTTAAAGCCCCAGCCTGCAGTGCCAGCATCCCATATGGGCGTTGGTTCAAGTCCTGGCTGCTCCACTTTCAATCTAGGCCTCTGCTGTGGCCTGGGAAAGCAGTAGAACATGGCCCAAGTCCTTGGGCCTCTGTACCCGTGTGGAAGACCCGGAGGAAGCTCCTGGTTCCTGGCTTTCGGATCAGCTTAGCTTTGGCTGTTGTGGTCATCTGGGGGGTGAACCAGTGGATGGAAGACCTCTCTCTCTCTCTCTCTCTCTCTCTCGCTCTACCTCTCTGTAACTCTCTTTCAAATAAATAAAAGTAAAAATAAAAATAAATAAAAGCTCTTATTTGAAAGACACTTTCTAAATGCCCACAACAGCCAGACTTTGTGACTACAGAAGCAGCATGAGAGGAATGGTGTTCTAGAAATTAAAAAATAGTTACCATTTAGGGGTGGGCATTATTGCACCGCAGGTAAAGCTGAAGCTTGGGACACTTGCATCCCAATAACAGAGCACCGATTCAAGTTCTGGCTACTCTGCTTCTGATCTAGCTCTCAAATGTGCCTGGAAAGCACCAGATGGTGGCTCAAGTGTTTGACTCTGCCATCCACGTGGGAGACCCAGATGGAGTTCTTGGCTCCTGGCTTTAGCCTAGTGGAGCCCTGCTGTGGTATCTGGGAGTGAATCAGTGGGTGGAAGATCTCTTTCTTTCCCCCCCACTGTCACTCTGTCTTTAAGATATAAAAATAGGGGCTGGCGCTGTGGCACAGTGGGTTAAAGCCCCAGCCTGCAGTGCTGGCATCCTATACGGGTGCCGGTTCATGTCCCGGCTGCTCCTCTTCCAATCCAGCTTTCTGCTGTGGCCTGGGAAAGCAGTAGGAGATGGCCAAACCCTTGGGGCCCCTGCACCTGCGTGGGAGACCTGGAGGAAGCTCCTGGCTCCTGGCTTTGGATCAGCCAGCTCTTGGCCATTGGATCATTTGGGGAGTGAACCAGTGGAATGGAAGACCTCTCTCTTTCTCTCTCTGGCTCTACTTCTCTCTGTAACTCCTCTTTCAAAATAAATAAAAAGTAATTCTTTTAAAAAAGATATAACAATAAATAAATCTAAAAAAAATAGCTGGGCTAGCACTGTGGTGCAGTAGGTTACTCCTCAGCCTGTGGCACCGGCATCCCATATGGGTGTCAGTTCCAGTCCCAGCTGCTCCTCTTCCGATCCAGCTCTCTGCTGTGGCCTGGGAAAGCAGTAGAGGATGACCCAAGTGCTTGGGCCCCTGCACCTGTGTGGGAGACCCAGCGGAAGCTCCTGGCTCCTGGCTTCGGATCAGCACAGCTCCAGCTGTTGCGGCCATTTGGGGAATGAAGCAGCAGATGGAAGACCTCTCTGTCTCTTCTCTCTGTATCCCTGCCTTTCAAATAACAAATAAAATCTAAAAAAAAAAAAAAAAAAAAAGCTACATCTCATGGAGCACCCTACTCCACACCATCAGGCCTTTAATTGTATTAGATGCTTGATCTTGATCTATTTTCTCTATAATCCTCACCCTTTATGGAGACTCAACTGTAGTGGAACTTGAAATTAGTTACCAGAGAAATGTGTTGGATGCTTGAGCAGTGAACAAACCAAGCACTCAACTACAGTTGCTCCCTGTGGTAGAATACCTTTCTCTCCTAGAAGAGAGCTCACTGGTGAGTACAGTACTGACAGACTGGAGAGGAAGCAGCCAGCCATGTTCAGCATCATTTTAGAACTATAACTCAATTCTTATTCTTTATTTTAAAGATTTATTTATTTCAAAGGCAGAATTACACACAGAGAGAGAGAGAGAGAGAAAGTCATCCATCCACTGGTTCATTTCCCAAGCAGCTGCAACGACCCAGGCTGGGCCAGGCTGAAGTCAGGAGCCACAGTTTTCTTCCAGGGCTCCCACATTGGTGCAGGGGCCCAAGGACTTGGGCCATCCTCTGATGCTTTCCCAGGTGCATCAGCAGGGAGCTGGATGGGAAGAGCAGCCAGGACTCTGGTGCCCACGTGGGATACCAGTGCTGCAGGTGGCGGCCTAACCCACTGTACCACAATGCAGCCCCTCAACTCTTTATCTTGAACATGGAGTTTCTAGGTGGTCCAAAAACACAAAACACTAACAGTTGAGGGAAACTGATGGAGGAGTAAATGTTTTTTGAATATCTGCTGATCTGGGGCACTAAGAACACATTCCTTTTAAGTGTTGGGAAAAATTAAAAATGCTTTTGGAGGGGCCAGCATGTGGCACAGCAGGTTAAGGTTCTGCCTGCAATGCCAGCATCCCATATAAGTGCTGCTTCTAGTCCAGGCTGCTCCACTTCTGATCCAGCTCCCTGCTACATGTGCCTGGGAAAGTAGTGGAAGATGGCTGAAGTAACTGGGCCCTGCCACCCATGTGGGAGTTCCAGATGAAGTTCCTGGCTCCTGGCCCAGCCCTGGCCATTGCGGCCATTTGGGGAGTGAACCAGCAGATGCAAGATCATCTCTCTGTCTCTCCTCTCTCTAACTCTCCCTCCCTATCAAATAAGTAAATATATCTTTTTATTTAAAGTGCTCTTCAAAAGAGTAAACGTCATTACTTTATCAATTAGATTGACTATAAAATGAAGCTCCTGTAAATTCTCTATTTTCAAAAAAGTTGTTAAAATATAGTGTGGTGGGCTGGTGCCATGACGCAGTAGGTTTAATCCTCCGCCGGCAGTGCTGGCATCCCATATGGGCACCAGTTCTAGTCCTGGTTGCTACACTTCCATCCAGCTCTCTGCTATGACCTGGAAAGCCGTGGAAGAAGGCCAAGTCCTGTGCGGCTGCACCCCGCATGGAGACCCAGAGGAAGCTCCTGGCTTCGGATGGGCGCAGCTCTGGCTTTTGTGGCCATCTGGGAAGTCTCTCCCTCTCACTGTCTGTAACTCTACCTCTCATATAAAAGAAATAAAATCTTTAAAAATTTTTTTTTTTAAAATAAAATGTAGGTGGTTTGCACATAACATGTCCCCACAGGAAACTTGTGGATAAAACTTAAGTACAAAATAGCTTTTTTTTTTTTTTTTTTTTTTTTTTTTGGCCAGGCAGAGTTAGACAGTGAGAGAGAGAGAGAGAGAGAGAGAGAGAGTGAGTTATAAACAGAGACAGACAGAAAGGTCTTCCTTCTGTTGGTTCACTCCCCTAATGGCTGCCATGGCCGGCGTTGCGCTGATCTGAAGCCAGGAGCCAGGTGCTTCCTCCTGTCTCCCATGTGGGTGCAGGGCCCAAGCACTTGGGCCATCCTCCACTGCACTCCCGGGCCACAGCAGAGAGCTGGACTAGAAGAGGAGCAACCTGGACTAGTACCCGGCACCCCAACCGGGACTAGAACCTGGGGTGCCAGCACCACAGGCGGAGAACCAGCCAAGTGAGCCACAGCGCCGGCCCAAAATAGATTTTTTAAAAGATGTATTTATATGAAAAACCCAGTGACAGAGAGGGAGAAAGAGGCAAGAAAGGGGTGAGATGCGGCTCACTAGGCTAATCCTCTGCCTGCAGCACCGGCACACCAGGTTCTAGTCCCGGTCGGGGCGCGGGATTCTGTCCCGGTTGCCCCTCTTCCAGGCCAGCTCTCTGCTATGGCCCGGGAGTGCAGTGGAGGATGGCCCAAGTGCTTGGGTCCTGCACCCGCATGGGAGACCAGGAGAAGCACCTGTCTCCTGGCTTCGGATCAGTGCGACGCGCCGGCTGCGGCGGCCATTGGAGGGTGAACCAACAGCAAAGGAAGACCTTTCTCTCTCTCTCTCTCTCACTGTCCACTCCGCCTGTCAAAAAAAAAAAAAAAAAAAAAAAAAAAAAAAAAAAAGAGGTGAGAGAGATCTCTCATCCTTTGATTAACTTTCCAACTGCTGCAACAGCCAGGGCTACACTAAGCTAAAGCTAAGGAGCCAGGAACTTCATCCCGGTCTCCCACAGTCTCCCATGTGGGTGGCAGAGGCCCAAGTACTTACAGCATCAGCTGCTGCTTCCCAGGACTGCGTTAGCAGCACGGTGGATCAGAAGCAGAGCAGCAGGCATTCCAACCAGCTAAGTGCCCCAAGCACCAGCTTCGGCACGAGCCCCTAGGTATGCGATACTTACTTCTGTGGTAAAAAATTGTATAACAGAGCAACACCCAAGAACCCAGGTCAGATCTCCTGGTCTATTACCTGTGTGATCTCTGGAAAATTCTTGGGACTCTGTGTGCCTTCGAATCCCTCCTCTACAGTGGGGACAGAGGCATCTACCTCAAAGGGTTGCAGGATGAGTGCCGCAGAGGACCTAGCAACTGTCCAATATACACTACTATAACATCACACCTTCGAATAGTCTGTAAAACCTGGGCAGAAGTCCTCAATAAATCCCTACTGTTCCTCTCCCCCATTCTTCTCTGTGCTCCCTACACCTAAGAAGACAAGTATCTGTGGCCTTGAAATGAGCTAACATAGTAACTGGTGGGCGGAAAAAAGCCAGGAAGAGTTAAAATGCCATTCTTGCTGTTCCCTTTTAATTAGAAAATCCTAAAAAGGCATACGCCCTTGGCTGTTACCTAACAATCAACTAGTAAGAGAAAGACAGTGAAGCAGTAAACTTAAGCGACGTTGAAGAGTTCTATCCACCAGCATGGATTCTCTCCCCCTTAGGACCTCGGCTACAGTTGGAGTCGGAGAAAATACTCTGCACAGGTCCTTCGGCTATCCTGCAGAAAATGAGACAAAAACCAAAAATCAGTTATTCAATTTTAGTTCCAGCACGAGCACTGGAGGTTTAAAAAAAAAAGTTCTCTGTTACATTTTTTAAAAAAGACATTTTGGGCGCTTTCTGGCCCCGTCTTCCACCCACCCACAAAGCTCCGCACAAAGGCAGCATCTGTACCGCTGCACCTGCAGGGGTGCAGGGGGTGCGGGCTACGACCGGCGGGGCTCCCGGGCCCGCACGCACCGGCGCTCAGGCCTGGCGAGTGCGCGGCCGAGGCTTCAGCTGCCGCTGGCGCCGCTTGCGCTGCCCATTGAGGAGCTTCTGGGTGATCTTGCGCTCGTGGCCGGCCGGCAGCAGCCGGTTGCTGCGCAGCTGCTGCTCTCGCCGCGTCCGGCCCTTGCTGCGTCCGGCCCCACGGGGGAAATCGCGCAGGGTAGTAGTAGTCGAGGCGTCGTAAGGCTCCTCCTCGTAGCTGGCCGGCGGCTGCCGGGCCCGAGCCTGGGCTCGGAGAAGTGCCGGCTCGGTGCCCAGAGCCATCCTGCCCGGCAGCCTGGCAGCCCCACGAGCCCGCGCGGTCCCGGAAGCCGGGAAGCTCCTCCCCTCGCTCCGATTGGATGCACTGAAGGGGCGGGGCCACGGCTGACGTCACAGAGCGCTGGCCCAGCCTCCCGCGACCCCGGAGCGGCGACTCCTGAGCTCTGGCCAGGAGCTGTTCAGAGGAGGCCGGAAGGGGGCCGTTGACAAACCCCGACTCCGCATTCTACTTATGTCCGTCCAAAATGGAAAACTATCGGAGTATCCGACAGGGAGGGATTCCTTAGTGAAAAGAAGATGCTGTTTTTCCTGCGGAGAAGTTGTAGCGCCAACAAACATGTTAGGCTTTCCTGACGTGAGCAAGTGCTCCACAGTGATGTCA